TATTAAGCCCTATATATTCCGTTTATAAAAGCGTAATAATTAAGCTTTCTACTTTTATAAGCTTATAGTATTTAGTTGCCTAATTTTTATTCTATTTTATATTAAGAGCTAGTATAGAAAGGCCCTTTTATTTTTTTCTATAGGCCTTCTATTTATTCCTCTACCTTTTTTTATATACTTCCTATATTACTTCTTATTTTAAGAGCTTATATAAGTTATTTAACTGCTCTTTATACTTTAGGGCTAGTGCTATAGCCTTAACTATAAGCCTCTTTAGTATATTACACCGGCTTAGCTTATATTTAGGCGTTTTCCTAGGCTTATAGTATCTTTTAATAGTGTTTTTAATAGTGCAGTATATAGTTTTAATATACTTTTTAGCCTAGCCTGCATACGTGCAGTCTATATACGCTACTATAAGTTCCTCTAGCTTAAGCCTTAGAAGGAGGTAAAAGGTTTTATATTTAAGCGTTTTAATATCTATTATTTTATACGCCCCTATAATAGTATAAAAAAAGTAGTTCTAGGCTATTTTAAGTTATTTAATTTTTACTTTACTAATTTATTTCTTTATACCTAGCGTTAGAAACTAGGTAGTATACCTATATATAAGAACCGGCCTAATAACTACTAAGTATATATACTATGCTTTTTAGAAGCTTACGCTTTATATTAATACTATTAGCCGTATAAAGGCTTCTATTTATACTATAGCCTTTTCCTTTATAATACGTATATATAGGCCCTATTTAAGTTTAAAGTTTACCTAAACTTTAAGTATATAGAGCTCTATAATTAGGCCCTTTATAAAGCTTTAGATATTTACTATAGCCTTTATATTTACTATATTTAAACAACGCCTTATAAAGTATATAAAGTAATACTTATCCAGGGTAAATACTATACTATACTTTTTCGCCTACTTTATATACTATATATACGCACTTTTAATTACCCTGTAGTTTTCTTCTATATATTATAACCCGTAATATAAACTACTTAAGCGTAGCAGTACTTATAAAAATAAGTAAGTAGATAAAACTAATTATATAGAACTAGGTTATAGGACTAAAAGGGTTATATATAGGGCGTATAGGGATTCTAGATTCCCCTATAGACTGCTAGTAGATAGAAACGATCTAAAAATAAGATATTATAAAAATAGGGTTATATAATAGCTTAAGAAGCTTAAAATAATAAGCTAAATAAGCGCTTAAAAAGCTTAAGGCTATAAGCTAGGTAAACGCTTAAGGGGCTTAAGGCTAAGAGCTGTATAAGTAAATAAGTTTTTTAGAACAGAGCTTTATATATAAAAACGCTTCTTTATATAAATAGAA